TTCTTTTCTTCAAATATTTCTCTTCTATTTATAGGAGAATTTTCAAAAAAAAAATCAGATTTTTTTTTAATCTTTTTAACTTTTTATTTAAAAGAAATCTCACTTACATTTTGCTTTTCTTTTTTTATAAAAAGAATTACCACCTTTCTTTACTTTTATTTTTTAAATTCCAACTTTAATTACTTTTATCTTATTTAAAATCCCACTTTTTTTACTTTTTTAAAAGAGAATTCCACTAATTTTACTTTTCTTAAAAAAACAATCCACTTTCTTTTACTTTTCTTTAAAAAAATCTACTTTATTTTAATTTAATTTTTTTTAAATTTTCAGCTACCTTTATATTATTTTTTTAATTCCAACTTTCTTTTACTTTTTATTTTTAAAAATTTCCACAAAACTTTACTTTTATTTTTTTAATTTTTTACTTTCTTTCACTTTTTTAAAAGAGAATTCCACCTACTTTTACTTTTTTTTTTAATTCCATACTTTCCTTTTTCTTATTTTTTTAAATCTCTCCCAAAAATTTAAAAAAAAATAATATTTTTCGGATTTTTTATTATTATTTAAAAATAAGAATAAAAATAAAATAATATTAATAGTAATAATTCACCTTCTAAAATTTTGTATTTTTAACCTATAATAAAAAGTATAACAAAGCTAAAAATTTGTATGTTAAAACCCCCTAAAATATTTACATAGAAGAAGTGACAAAAAAAATTAAATATTGTCAAAAATTAGGTGCTCACAACTATGGCTGCTCATCATTTCAGCAAGTTGTCTTCTAAGTACTATGATCCTTACATGGTTATCCAGAAAGTGGGACCTGTTGCCTACAAGTTATCCTTACCGACTGACTTGCTCCTTCACCCTACTTTTCATGTTTCACTACTCAAACCATGCTATGCAGTTCTAGCTCGAATCTCACATCCATCGATGCTAAACATTTCGAGTCCAAATTGTCCAAAACAAGTCAGTACTTTAGATAAGAGAATGATTCGAAAGGGTAACAAAGTTGTGGTTCAACTGCTCATCCAATGGGAACACCTTGATGAAGCTCAGGCTACCTGGGAAGATGTCAATGCTCTGAGAGTTCGATTTCCTTCATTTCTTTCTTGGGGACAAAGAAGTTCTTAACGGCGGGGTACTGATGTGAGCTAGATTGAAAGGAGTATTAACATGCATGCAAGAGTAGTACATACAGTTGAGGGAGTGGTACTTAACATAAGGAATATAAGTTAGTTACTACTTTACTAGTTTACAGTTAAGGTCTAGTTACTTTTTAAGTGTAAGAAGTGTTATATGCACATTCACTCTTCTATGTTTTCCTATTTGGACACTTTGCGTCCTAGTCCCTAGTTAGACATATCAGTATTTTTACATAATTGAGCTCTCATTTGCCTTTTTCATGAAATGAAACCTAACTATTTTTTGCTTCTTCTTAGTTGTTCCTCTATCAATTACTGCAATTTTCTTAGTTTTTAAAATTAATTACAACACCCATCAGGGAACAGAATCTCCCAGTTTGATATCAATCCAAATGTAACATAATTTCTTTTTTCCAAAAATTACTACTCCCTCCGTTTCAATTTATGTGAACATATTTGACTGGACACGGAGTTTAAAAAAATAGAAAAGACTTTTGAACTTGTGGTGTAAAATGAGGCAAATATATTTTGTGTGGTTATAAATCATTGCATAAAGGTAAATTGTTTCCAAATAAGGAAAGAGGTCATTCTTTTTGGCACGGACCAAAAAGGAAATAGGTTCACGTAAATTGAAACGGAAGGAGTACGTGAGGGTGTACGAACACCGCTGTGAACTTGTGCTTATTTTATTGGTGAATGAATTTCCTTGCCTTCTACAATAAACACGTGTATTCACACTACTGTTTTAGCAAACCATGTGTACTCTTCATTTTCCCCCAAATTGACCGAGCTGCTCTTCTTTGTCCTGTCCCTTTGCCTCTCTTGAGCATGGAGCAAAATTCATCATCCACACTTTGTTAATCCATCTTGGCGTGTACCCTAATTATGGGTTTCTTAGTGCATGCGTTCATGGAGAATAGTAGCATGGAGTAAAGCGTGCTAAGAAAACATGATACACCTCAATTCCATGGTTCAATAGATATCGAATTGCACTGGAAGTGGCCTCTGCCCTCGCCTTCCTTCACAAATCCCGCAAACATATTGCTTGGCCTCTCAACCGTGATCTTTGTTTCTTCATGGTGACCATGTAAGTGTTTGATTCAATTTCTTTAGAGATTATTCAGTTAGAATTCATTCGGCCTCTGAATTTTCTTTGTGTTTCATTTTTCTTTTTACCTCAGTGTTGATGATTTTGGATATTTGATTTATATATATGTGTTTATTGCTTTCTAGGTGGATTATGTATATGAATGTGGTTATTTGCTCAAGCGCCTCTATGAAATTTTCTGCTAAGGTGCGCATACTGCTACTTCATTCAGCATACGAAATTTTCCCCTGAAGCAACAATAGTACAATACTTGATAAGAAAGGATTTTGAAAAACTTGTGAGCTCTCCTTATCGTCTGTAGAACCAGCACAGATGGGCTGATTATTGTACAATTAAATTTTCATCTCAAAGGTGTTGCATGAGTCGGTCTGGGCTGGGAGGAACTGTTATTTTTTCATTATATTTTGTATCATTTCTTTGACTCTTTTGTTGTCCTAGAGATTCAGGTGCAAATATTGATGTTGTACAAATAGAAATTCCAAATCAAAGGTGGTTTTCCGTGCAAAGAGATTAAATTGTTCAGATTGTGGATTTACATATATTCAATCTTTAAGAGTTGTTCAAAAATTACACTTGGAACCTGCCCTTGGAGAAACTATGATGTTTCCATATCAAATACTTCTCCGCTTTACTGTGACTGAAGGTGCTGATCTCACTTTAATATTTTTAGATCTGGAGTTCCAAGTATAAGTTACTTTGGCATGGACATAACTTACGATATTCTCATCATTAATTAACTGGCCTTGATTCTTAAATGTCTGTTATTTAGTACAAATGATTTTAGTTGAATCTGTTCGTTCAAAATAATTTTTGCATCCTGATGTCGATGCTTTTTTATGAGGCAAGGTATATGTAGCTATTCGCCCTATTATTTCTAACAAGTTTTTAAAGGTCTCTCAGTTTTTCCTTTAATTAATGTCTTAACAGGGTAAGCTGTAACTAACATTCAAGGTATAATTTATGGTTAGTACATGGTTGATGCAGATTCGTTATAGATTTACAATACTCACACATGTACCATCTCTTAAGGCTGATAAGATTCTTTTTATATTATTGCGCTTCTTTTTCAGCCCAACTTTGTGGCTCGTAACAAGTTAGAACTTTATGTTTCTTTAGTTGAAAGCTTTCCGTTTTCATGCCAATAGATAAAACTTTGTTTACTGCTGAAAAAACTTTGATTGGATGATGTTTGCCTACATAATAGAACTGACGAAGAAAGAGCAGAGCTGGTGGTGTACAGCCCGAAAAATGTTTTCGTCTTATTTTACATGTGTATTGTGACGACCAGGCCAGTTGTCTCATGAGTTACCGCTCCGTTTTTCCCCATTCCTGCTTCTTTATGCTTTGTTTATCCGTGTTATGTGGTATCGGGTTGGTCGGATCGAATCCGGAATGGTTTTGGTAAGGTTTGAGATACTTAGTCTCTAAAAGTAGCTTTTGAGTTAGAAAAGTCAACCGAGAGTTGACTTATTGGTAAACGACCTCGGAATACGGATTTTATGGCTCGGATAGCTTCGTTAGGTGATTTGGGACTTAAGAGTGTGTCCGAAATATTTTTGTGGTGTTCGGTATAGAATTAGGCTTGAATTGACGAAAGTTAGTTTTTGGCGATTTCCGGTCGGAAGATAGGCTATCGGGGTCGGAATGGAATTCCGATAGTTGGAACAGGTTCGTAATGTCATTTTGGATATGTTTGCAAAATTTCATGTCAATCGGAGTTGTTTTGGATAGTTTCGGCGTTGTTGGTGGAATTTAGGAATTTCAAGGTTCATAGGCTTGAATTTGATGTGATTTTGGTGTTTTGATGTTGTTTTTGGTGTTTCGAAGGCTCGACTAAGTTCGAATGATATTATGGGACGTGTTGGTATATTTGTTGAGATTTTCGAGGGCCTCGGGTGGATCTCGTAAGGTTAACGGATTAATTTAGACTGAAGAAAAGCTGCTGTATCTTTCACATCAGCATGAACAGTAACTCGGGTGAACAGTAGTCTGGTGAACAGTAAAACGTGTGAGCAGTATTTAAATAAACCCTCCGCGACCATTAAACTCTTTTACACCATTTTTGAACAGGAAAAGAGCTTTGAGGCGATTTTGAAGAAAGGAAATTATTGTTCTTCATTGAGGTAAGGATTTTGGACCCTAAAACTCGATTATTTGTGATTAAGGAACAAAATATCAGTGTTCAATTCATGAAAGTCAGTAGAAAAAGGTGGAGTTAGGGCTTGAGATTATGAGACCTTCTAGGGATGATTTGAGGGGTCAAACGAACTCCGATTTTCGAGTTCTTTATATGTACGGACTCGTGAGATGATGAAGAACATTTTGGTACAAAGTTTGTCCAGTTTCAGGACGCGGACGCGGGCGCGGGGGTTGGGTTTTGACTGATTTCGGGTTTTGTGCTTAAAATCGATATTTTTCAATTGGAATTCATTCGCTTAGCATAATTTGATGATAAGAATCTGAACTTGGTAGATTTGGAGTAGATTTGGAGCACTCAGAAGTTGGTTCGAGAGGCAAGCGTGTTGCAGAGTAGCTTTTCGGGCTAGTTCGAGGTGAGTAATGATTTTAAATGCTGTTTTGTAGGTATGAAACCCCGGATTATACAACGTTCGGCTGTGTTGAGGTGACGCACACGTTAGATGACGAGCGTGGGATCGTGCACCGTTGGTGATTGTGACTTAGTCCATCCCGAATGACTATTTTTCTGTATATTTGGTAGTTAATTCTTTGATATTATTATACTTTGGGCTAAATGTCATATTTGGGTTTCGTACCAACTGTTTGAACCCTTAAGGGATCGTTAATGATATTTTCCTCACTGTTTGATTTCATACTTGTGCTCAGTTATGCAAGATTTTTCAATGTTTTCAAAACTCAGCTATGTTAATCTGTTTTAAAAATCTTAAATGATGTTTTAAAGATATTTTGAGTTGAGTTGTATATTTTTACTATCTTTCGAAGGGCTTATGAGATTCTGACCGAGTAAGGCTGAGGGCCTGTATTGTGAGGATACTTTTGGGTCGGGTTGCATGTCGCAGCAGTGATACACTAATTATGATAATGAGGCTGAGGGCCTGAGATTGTACGCCACGAGGTGGATTGATATTGATATGAGGCCGAGAGCCTGTTTATGATGCCACGAGGCGGCTTGATATTACGTTTGGGCCGTAAGGGGTCCCTCCAGGAGTTTGCACACCCCCAGTGAGCGCGGGTATCCATTGTGACATGAGATGTAGCTCGAGGGGCTGGTATTGTTCTGTGATATTGCCCGAGGGGCTGATTTGATGTTATCGTGCCCGAGGGGTAGTTCTTATGTGTTTACCGTTCCTAGTTGTTTTTCCTATCTATTGTTGATTGCTTAAAAAGGTGTTTTTATGAGATTTCATTGTTAAATTGTGTTACTGATTTTGTTATGCCTTTTATAGCTAAATGTTGTGTTTAACGTGATTTTATATCGTTCAGTCTTCATTTATTTTTATTACTCACTGAGTTGGAAGTACTCACTTTACTTCCTGCACCTCTGTGTGCAGATTCGGGCGCTACAATCCTGCTACTGAGGGTTGACAGTTTCAGCAGATCTTCGGAGGTTCACTAGGTAGCTGCTTGGCGATTCGCAACCTAGTGCAACCTTCCTCTATCTTATTTCTTTTCTGATTCAGTTATTTAGTAGTAGAGTAGACTTTCAGGCTGGTAGTATTGTTTTAGATGTTCATGACTAGTGACACCCCGATGTCGGGTTGTGTTGGCTTTAATTTTCGCAAATTATATTGTTAAATGCTTATTTTGGGATCTTATTTTGATTAAAGACTTAGTAGTTATTATTTTAATTGCTTAAAGTAAATTGGAAGTAAGTCGGCTGGCCTTGTCTTCACGAAAGGTGCCGTCACGATCGGGTTGGGTTTAGGGTCGTGACATATATATGATGGTTTTTCGATTGCCAATTGCTTTTTCGATTGCCAATTGCTAGAAATTCTGATGAGTTCTTTGCTATCATTTTAATTCTCAATCAAAAATTTAATTTAGTATTATAGCTTACTGCTTTCTATTATACTAGATAGCTTTTGCACGGGACCAACGTTTCATACTTTTAGGTAGCACTTTTTTTCTAAATCCTTGATTTGGTTTAAGTACTAATACATATCATTCAGAATATTGATGATTTTGTAAATGCATATTCTAATATCATTGGCCATTGCTTTGATTTTGTAAATGCATATTCTGATATCACAGGCCATTGCTTTCAACCAGTATACTCCCATAACAGGGAAGTCAAGTAAACGTAACCTGAGATGACAACTAAGCATGAACTTTAGAATTTGGGCTGTAAAATAACTTCAAAAGTCTCAAACATCATTTATTTACAAGGTAATGTATATTTTTAAGTTCTTAAAAATAAAAAGTCTCAAACATAAAAATACAAAAACTTAAAAAGCCTAATGCAGGCCATGTAAATCAAACGTCTCAAACTTTAAGATGCAAAAACTGAAGAAGTGTAATGCTTGGGGAACAACAAAGAAATGAAGCATTTTGCTACGCAGTCATAGAAATCACGCAAAATTTTAGGAAGTCTAACGCTTAGGAAAACAAAGAATAAATCATTTTACTTCCCAATCATAAAAGTTAAAAATCAAGCTACGTCACATACGCTTGAACTTAGGGAATCAATCTGAATCAGTGAATAATGACAAATCATATTTAGCTGAGACTATAAAGGGACATCCACATACAATGACAATAACAGTAAGAGACTTAAAATGCATAATATTTCTACAATGGTTGGAGAATTGCCAAGCTTGGGAGGAATTGGTCCTTTGAATCGATTAGCATCGAAGTCGAAAATCTTTCATTTCATAAAAGCTAATCCCCTTTAGTATTTTGTACCATCACATGTATACTCATTCAAAGTCCTGCATATCAACAATATAGCAACATAAAAATCTTGAAAAATTTCGAATGTTAGAAACTAATACTTATCCTTTATTGGGAAATAGCTTATAATTTCCACGAAGAAGAGATTTTGTACAAGTATTGAAAGAAAATCCATTTAAGAAGCATCATAAACGTTACTGTAAAAGAGAAAGTGAAAATGCAAATTAGGGGCTCTACTGATATGTTCCAAAATATATCAAATAAATTGAATTTTATTGAAAAAGATTAATAACCAAATAAATATACAAAAATTATATAAGTGGAAGACACCTCTTCACGTTTTTATGACGACAGATCTTGCGTCATAAGGCAAAGTTTCCAAGTCTATCATAAGAATCTAAGTCAAAGACATTCGGTAAGTCAAAAAAGTGATGAGTTCTTTTTGCTTTGAGCTTCAAGAATCTTAAAGTCAAGTCAATAATTTATCAAAATAATCTTAATATGCAATCACCATTATTTCCAGATACATACATATATCCAGATGCTACATTAGCCAATAACATTAAAGCGCCCTACTGTTGGACTCTTATTTTGAAGACAGATAACCAAGAAAAGTCATACTTTATTAGCGGTAGCCGGCAGGGATCACTATATTCAGCATTTAACATATATCAAGTCATGTAACTTTTTCATTGTGAAATTATTCATGAATAAGATATCATAATATTTCAAGCCAGCATCACTAAGTTGACAAAAAATTGCATTATAATGTCCGTGTTGTTTCTTATTGCTTGCAATTAGTGTATCAGAGTGTCTCTCAAGTTGGACTTCTTTGAACCNATTCCATATTCCTTTGCAACTTCTCAAGAATGGAAGCTTCTACATTTCTGACAGGTTATGTATTTTAGCTCTTTGAAAAAAGCTGCAGCAAAAAGATGGGAAAAACAAATATATGTCCCGCACTACTACATCTATCAACTTAAATAAACAAAGGAAACAACCTCATGTCAATTATTATACACTGAGTAACAATCTAATACTCGACAACACAATTATACACTATGACTATAACAATTATGCCAATCAATCTATGGCAACTCCAGCATTCTATAGAACCTTACACTGTTTCCTGTGTGCTCGTCAAGTTTAGCACTTGCGAAATTCAACTTGAGCTCTAAAGGATTACCTGTTAGTTTTATATGATACCGTCAATTTAATCTGTAATCTCATTGTTCTAACCTCAGCTTTAAGATTTATGATAGCATACATATGTTGATACATCAGATTTATTATTATAACCCGGCAAATTCAATTCGAAGGAAGAATTTCGACTCTTCTAGATCTTTTATCTTGAAATTTTAGTGCAGTACCTCTTAGATTCTTCAACCATCTTGTCATCATCCGTATGATCAGCAAGTTATTGACATATAAAAGGATCACAAGTTCACAACTACGTTACTGCATGTCTTCTCGTGAACAAAAGCAATATAAGAAATAAATCTATCAAAAAAATACAAAAGTGGCATTACTATATCATTTTCATAACTTAGATGACCATTTAATTAAATAAATATAAAGAATATAACTTTTTTTTCATTAACAAAGGATAAATTAAACTTTGGCATATTAAAATTGAGCAAAAAAAGATATCCATTTTAAATTCACATTCTTCTATAGTATAGGTGTTAAACGGACCGGGTTGACCCGGTTCCGGACCGGCCCAGACCGGTTAAACTCGGAACCGGCCCCGACCGGTTAAAGGGGGTTGGGCTGGGTAGGAGGGGTAGAGGGGGTTGGTCCATTTAGAATTTTAAAACGGGTAACCGGACCGGTTGAACTTGGTCCAATGAACAGTTACTCTTACCGGGTTAACCGGCCCGGTACAACGGCTAGAATTTTTTTTTTGTTTTTTTTTTAATTTTCGAAATAGGTGGGCCCCATTGACCGTTGGCAAAGTTAGACCTTGAATTGGTCCGTTGGCCAACGGAAAAATTGCACAAATAGCCTTTTTTTTAAAAATTTTAACCCTTTTTCAATTTACAAAACTAACTTTCTCTAAAACTATAAATACCCCCTCTTCTTCATTTCTTCACTCAATACTCATTTCTCAATTTCTCTCATTCTCTCATTCTCCAATTTGCAAGACTTCAAGTCTTCAATTCATCTTCTAATTTTATTTGGCTCTCTTTTCTTGAATTTAATTTATCGTGTTTTATCATTCAAAATTTGAAGTTTGAACAATTGAAGTTCAAAATTGAAATACTTGCTTGACGTTTGTTCGTGGTAACATCGAAATTGTGTAATCAAGTGCTCAATTTATTGTCGAATTCGGTGCACTCCCTCCAACTCTTTCTTTTATTTACTATTTTAATTGCATATTTAATTTTAGCTTATACTTTAATTTTTACAATATGTGTAATGCTGCTAAAAGAGCGTGTAAAAAATTTACTGGTAGGGAAAATAAAAAAAGAGGTAGTCCTTCAGCATCTGGTAGTAATAGTAATAACCTATTATCATTTTCACATGTTTCTGAAACATCGCCTAATGATAATATAGATATAGATTATGAACAATTACAAGAAGATTTTGGAATAGAAAATAATGAAATAGGAATGGAAGATGAGATACCAGCTACACCTACTAGTGCTGGAGCTGGTAGTGTTGGAGTTGCTACAAGGGGTGGTGGTCGTGGCACTAGTAGTAGACCACCTGTGCCTCCGACTACTAATCGTAGAAAAAGAAGTAAGGTTTGGAATTTTTTTGAAATAATAGAAAGTACTGATAGAGTTAGATGCTTTGGAAGCAATGCTTTGGAAGTTTTAGTATGTTTCAGAGATTGGATTAGATCGGAATGAAAAAATTAAGGACGTGAAGATGTTGATAGCCCAAAAGACGGGGAACTTGGAGATATATTAACACATAGTAACCCATCCGAATTTATCACTCCAGAAGAAGGTCAATCAGTTCATATTGATTATAAAGAACTTACTAAGGCAATGCAAAACCTTTGAATTTACTTGTTGTTAAAAATGTAAATCTTTCAATTTGTAAGTTTGAATTATGAAATAAATGTAGCACTTGCAACAAGTGCATTTTTTTTCCATCTTCCTTGTATTCTTTATGTTAATACTTTGTACTAATATAACCTACAATAGTTATACAAAATTCCAAAAAAAAAATATTAAAATACACTAAACCCAGCCCGGCCCGACCGCCTCAACCCGTAACCCTTACGATTCAATTTTTACCCGAATGAACCCGAACCCGTTAAACCCGTTAAGAACCAACCCGGAACCAGCCCGGACCGTAACCCGTACGGGTCCAAAAAATAGGGGCCCGGCCCGGCCCACCCGTTTATACCAATCACTGCTTACAAAAATAAAGAATGTTATGTCACCATGGAATAATAACAGCCAAGTAAATTCACCCATGAAATAGGAAATTGTTAAGAGATCTCAAAGAAGAAGAAGAGAAAACAGAGAAAAAAAGAAAAAGATTGGAGCAAAAACTGTGAGAGAATCATACCCGAAATGGTTTTCTTCAAATTCTGAAGGAGAACTCAAAGAGTTCACCTAAGTTTCGATGGAACAGAGGAGAGATGTTTCTAGACCCATATCGTTTGTTTGTGTCGAAATAGCGAGCACTATTAAAGATAGAAATAGGGGGAAAATAAAATGGCAAGGTAAAATGGCAATTTTGCCCTTGGTCGACCAACTTCTCTTTTCTATATATATAATAATTATAATAGATACTATGTTTAAAGCATTTCATTAATTATACAAGTTCATTCTTTGTTTGTTGCTGTCATTGGAGTTTTCCTTGTCCATTTTGCTGCTAGGTTAAAAATGCTATTCAGTATCAGAAAAATCGTTGGTACTTTATGTGAGAGTGAAAACCTGACTTCTCTAAATATAAAAGTTTAGTTGTTATTAGTTCATAGTATATTCAAATTCAAGCCTAACCATTTCATACTTCTGACTTTTCGTTGCTGTCACTAAGGTTTTTTAAACAGGATAGTATTACTTATCACTGCTTCCAATGGAGCCTAAACTGGGAAGATGTGTATATCTGGGGTAGTTTTAAATTATTTGGATCCAATATTAACTTTAAATTGCTGGTCTTAGTGTTTGTGATCCCTTTATGACACTGTTTGATTGCTTCATCTTCTTAAATTTTATCAGTCATAACTTCAACTTCCCCTTTCGGAGCATTAATTAATATCTATGAGCTCTTCTTTTCGGCTTGTGGACACTGCTCAATCTGAAAGAGATATAATACTGCCAAAATAGTATTTGCCTGCACTATGAGAGCTATACTTTCTCTTAGTTGGGAGTTTCACTCTTTTGCTCAAGGATACTAATTATTAGGAAGTGGGCCTACTTCTTTTAGTGAATATGTTCCAGGTACCCTTGGTCTTTCTTTAATATTTTTTCCTCATTGCGTGTAGTTGGACTTAGTAATACTTTGAAAGATTAGAAGGCTGTTAAAACTCTGATATGGGCATGTTTTAGAGTCTACTTCTTAGAAAAAAAAATTAGTACTTAAAATTGCTTATTCTAGCAAGAGATTCCCAAAAGTCTTGGATGGGAGACTTTACCTTTTAGTTATTAAATAAAAGATCTTGGGAAGAACTATACTGAAGATGAAAATGTGTGAGGTCCATGGTTCTTTGGTTGATTAACTTGATAAGTTTTCTTTTGTAAGGGAGGTATAGTAAGTATGACAAGTAATTTACCTTCCTACTATACATAAGGAACGATGTAGGATCCTCTTCTTGACACACCTGCTTGGGAGCAGAGAGCAGACATGTTATTTGTGTTTTGAAATATATTTTACCCTTGTGATTGTTAATTTATACTGACCGGAATAAGATATCATATGCCATTTTGTGCTTAGCAATCAGTACAACAGAGACTTCATTGTTTTGCTCTGCTACTTTCAGTTTTTCTCTGGAATTGCGCATGGGATTTGCAATTATGCTCTATCCATTTGCTATAGTTCACTTTTAGTGTTGCAACAACATCACCAAATCCAGTATATTGGAAAGAAGGTGGTCCAGATGTTAATGAATCGAGCAGAATATGCAATTCCGACCTAGGAGACAAGGCAATCGAATAACGAGCACCTTTCAGCAACTGTAGAGTTCAATGAAATGCAGACCAGTTTTCTAGAGAGCATTGCAAATAATGGTGTTAGGATATATTAGAATGCAAAGCTGATAACAACTTAGAACGTATAAACGAAATGTTCCAGTGTGGAGTGTATAGTTCCATAACAGCAGAGAGCTTTGACATACCAATTACAGAAAAATGTAAAGATGTTGTAAATGAGGGTCGAGATTGGTTGTTGGAAGGGCACCGTTTATATGTCATCTTTTGCACATACATGTTATAAAGCCGTAATAACCCCATGTTATATAGAGAACTCTTTTGATTAAGGTAATCTATTTCTATTATTTCAATATAGGACACTATTTATGAGTTACACATTATGCCGGTGGCTATCACCACACATAAATATTGAAGAAGATGCAGTTCTGCAACTGTAGTCACCCATGTGTTATGAGATTTGATATAAATAAACATTGTAAAAGGTGGTACTAAGAGATGAGATATTAAAAGGCGAATCTGAACCAATTGTTTTGAGCAAATTTCAGCCTCACCCCTTAATGTAAATTTATTTCGACTGTAGGACAAAACTATTGCTTTTATTGGAGATTCACTTGGCAGACGACATTTAGTGAGGAGAATCTTGAAGTTGAAAATGTAGGATGGAAGTACGGCTTGGTTAAATCCCGTGGAGTGGTACGTCCCGATGGATGGGCTCAGTGGCGGAGGCAGGATCTCCACGAAGGGGGTTCAAAAAAAAAAATTGTATCTAGTGGGAATTGAACGCATGACCTTATGTAGATTTTGAACCCCCTTGACCACTAAACTACACTTTTGGATTGTGTTAAGGGGGTTCAAAACTTAATATATAGAGGTAAAAAACAGATTTTGCCTTATATATACAGTGTATTTTTTCGGCGAAAGGGGTTCGGGTGAACCCCCTTGCGCCCCCCTAAATCCGCCCCTGGATGGGCTTATAGGTTTCCAAACACAAACACCACAATTTTGTATTACAGGTCAGCAAGTCTTTGTGTTATAGAGCCCTTCAACGTCACGGATCCCGCCCCAGAGTCGGCCATGAACTTGGATCAACCTTCTGCTTTTCTGAGGAAATATCTTGATCAATTTGATGTTGTGGTGCTGAATACAGGTCATCACTGGAACGGAGGGAAGGTTAACGCAAACCGATGGGTGATGCATGTAAATGGAAAGCTTGTTGTAGACAGGATGCTTGCAGAAATAGGAAATGCTAAAAACTTCACAGTTTATAGTATTGCCATATGGCTTGATTCCCAAATCGCCTCACATCCACAGCTTAAGGCTTTCTTCCGGACCATATCACCCATACATATCTTGAATGGGGACTGGACCACTGGAGGTCGCTGTGATAATAATGTTCCACTTATTAAAGGAAATGAAGTCCAGCTAGAGGAATCAAGTGATCCAGTTATTGGGGGTGCTGTGAACTAAGAAGCATCGTTATGCTGGTTATGAAAGTATTTTTTTTTTATCGCCACAATGTAACAAGTTTTTCCTATACCAAATGGGATCTACTGATCTTTTATAGATGCTTGCATTTATTTGAGATTGACTTTTTATCTTTATTTGGTTATTAAGGAATTTTTCTTCTGTTGCAGGAAATATTAGGATCTCAGTGATCTCTATAGGCCATAGATACAGTATGTTGTCATCATTATTCTTTTTCTGAAATTTCTTGTAATCAACGAGTTTATGATTTTGAGGACATACTTTTCAATATCTATGACCTGATTTGTCTTTACTCTTGTGGTTTTGATGTAATGGGTTAGCAATTGGAAGTTCCTAGGATTTTGTGAAAACATGCTATTTTATTAGTTTACTTGGTTTATCACTAATGATTTATTGGCATGATATCTTGTACTGTTAGTATTTACTCGATTTTGAAAAGCACTGAAGAACTCTCCCACGTGCTGTTTCTGGAATAGCAAAGGTTCGCTACCAACCTGGGGACTGATCTGGCACTCACAGCAAATGGTGATTTAACGGATGCCAATAATTAATGTACTTGAAGATACAAACTTTGCTGTAGTTTTGGGAATGGATCCATCCACCCTGGAAAGCAGCTAACGCAGCTGATATATGCCTTTGCCTTGATAACATAAGCAAAGAGCACGTTAATAACTACGAACATTTGCACAAAGAAATGCAAAAGCATTGAAAAATGCTTCTTTCTTTTACGCTTTCTTCTTCTCATTCAACTACTAAATTCTGATCAAAGAAGGATCCATGGTTTATGTCTATTCATGGCTTGACATCTTTGCGCAGAAGCTTATTATAGTTTTTTTTTTTTAAATTTGTAAACGTTTCAAAATATAGATCATGTGAACCATGTTATGCAACGCAGGGAAATGTAAAGAGCACAGTAGATTGGAAGTGAGGTAATATGAACCTCTACTGTGCTGTTGTTTTTGGAATGGCAAAAGCTTACTGTTAGTTGGGCAGATAATGGATTAAATGTACCAAAACTTGTGTAGTATTTTTTAATTGTTCAAATAGTGTTGGTATTTCTGCTAATGTCACTATTGAACTTGTGAATGGAAACATTTATCGCTGATGCTTTAGCCAACGGTAAAGTTGATAGAGCTGCACTGACTCATTTGAAACATGGCAAGCCAGAAGCAGATGATTGCGAGGACGTACCATCCATGCAAATCTCATACACAATAAGGAATACACACATAATACTGCACCCAAAGAGACACAAGCAATATCAGAATTCCACAATTTAAGAATGGTCTAAAACTGAGACAATATTTTATGCAAGATCAAAAGCCGAGCACCAGAAGTTCTGTTTTCACAGAAAATTGTCTTATTTTGCACCAAAAAGAAAGGACAAACAGACAATTGTTTTAGTAAACAACAACAACAACCTAGTGTAATCCCACAAGTGCGGTCTGGGGAGGGTAGAGTGTAAGCAGACCTAACTCCTGCCTTTAAGAAAGTAGAGAGGCTGTTTCAGGTAGATTGTTTTCGTAAAATGACGATAATATTCACCTGCAGTCATATTTCCAGATATGGCATCTGGGGGCTTCCTTGAATCCATCATTCCCTAACATATTAGTTCACATAAATTTCAGAGAGTTGCACTCGGAAAAAAAAAGAGAAGGAACTCTATACATTAGATAATTTAACGAAAACGACAAACTGAGGTTGGGAACATACAGCAATGACAAATCCCCAATTGGCCATAGGTCCCCAGAAGTGAGTTGTTTTAGGGCCAACAGGACTGTTCCAGAATGCCCGGAAGAAAGCCATGAACTTGTTATTTCAATTGTCTCTGCATATATTTAAATAACATCCAAGCTTATCAAAATTTACAAGACTTTGCAAGTATCAATAAATGACATGTTCCTTATAAATGAAAAAATTCTAGCTGTCTACTAAAGAGATGAAGTGCAAATATTCACATCTATTTTTAGGAAATACTTGGACTTTATCTCATTGACAATGCTACGAACCTGACTTTCAGTGAGAAGTGGTCCACATATCTGAAAACATGTACTACAAAAGGATCATTATAACAGAAATACTTCTTTTGCCATTTTTACTTGCATTCTGCCACTGTTGTTGTCTATTGATTTGACACTACTAAGAAAACATGGAAAATAATTTTCATAAGTTGACTTAATAGGAATGTGCTGATATAAGGTTTTTCTATGGAGTCCATCTAATACAAATTTAATAACCTTTCTGTCAAACTCACTAGTCTTACCTAGTCATGCCAAGAGAACTTTTGTGATTACACTATCTGTCGTAAATTTGATTCAAACACCACTTTAAGCATTTTATTATAGTTTAACCATGCCTTTGTAGGTATTAATTATTCTGATGTATGGAATACAAGACTTTTCTAACAACCTTGTGGAGAAAGAGATACAAAGTAATAGTTTGAGATAGGCACAAAAAAAGGTAGAAATAAAAATACTTCCAGAAAATCCTACTGAGTACTAATAATTCATGTGAATGGCCCGCATGAAAACCAAAGTCTTTTTCTGTAGTGAGTGTCTCACTGGATACTCATATGCAATAATTTCTAATCTCTTGTAATTATATTATGGTTTCTCTGATTTGTGCCCCTCTAACGCTAAAGTGACATAGCTTTCCTAAAACTAACATACGGATGGAATGTTGCATAGAAATCTAGAACAAAGAGGAAATAATAAAAAGGAGCACAATCAGAAGTTGTGCGGGGAACTCATACAGCCAGGTCCAAAGTTAATCCAACAGAATAACTTATAGTTGCGGCAGACCATCTCGGAAGCACATAGGTTATATATCTTCAATATTCAGCTGCAAGAAGTTAATTTTTGTCTTCTTCAATAATTTGTTGCTATATATAACTGGTGCATTTACGCACCTAAACAGAAGTAGCTCATAGACTAAAGATATTCATGAAAGGTTATTGGCATCACCACATCTACTAATGCTTCTTGGTAACGTTAATTGGCCGAATCGTATATATATAGGACGTATCACAGAAACTTCCCTTTTCGTCACCAACTATATCTCCGTTTGGAATTCCCTGAGAAACTTGGCTTCTAAAAGAAAAGGCATAAGCTTCAGAACAAAGGACCAATGACAGAGACTAGCTGGTTATAGCAACTTATTGCTAGAATATACACTGAATAGCCTAGAAAATTGTCCTATTATATATGCATTTCATGAAAAAATTACCTGGTTTTAGTTGTGTATCTTAATCTTAATGTTAATATGGAGCACTATTTCTGTTGGTACAAAAAAGCTGATCGCCTAATATGTCGGGCATGGCTCATCTAGTATGAACTTAAGCATGTAAATTTTAAGCTTAATTAAAAAGAAAGTTCCTTTCTTTACAAATTTCAACTGCTAATATTTTAGTAAAATTTCAATTCCACCCGTCAGTTGATCCAAAAACAAAACCAAAGTCTAAACCATACAAAACGGAGTCAAACAAGAACAAGAAAGACTTAAATGGAGTACCTCAAAAACCACTTGAAAATTCACAAATTTTGTTCCCTCTCGGCCTGCCAAGGCCAAAATGACACACCTAAAAAAAGTATTAAGTATGCGTATGCCAAATGTATTACATACTTGCATAATTATTACTCTTTGAGAAACCACGGGAAATTAGGACAAGAAAAAAGAAATCCAAAAGAGGGGAAAAAAGGAAAGTGTTTTAGTTGAAAAAGAAAGTGTTTTTAAAAAAAAAATCAAAAAAAAGAAAGAGAAGAAGAATTGTGTGGAAGTGGTTATGACCAATTCTCCATGGACACACACAGCCCAGACAATGTGTGAGAGAGAGTGTGGTGCTTGTTTTCTTCTTTTGATGATAATAATTAATTGAATGTTACTAAGATATAAATTCTTTTATATAAAAAGAGAGTGACACTCTTTTTTTCTTTAAGTAAATTAATTTCGTTTTTTTGGTGGAAAAAAATAATTGTTCTGGAATTTGGATATATGTTTAATCATCAACTTTTGGCACCAGTAAACATCTCGCGGGAAGTTTGGCTTGGATTTTTTATGATAGTTGGTTCTTTTTCTTCACGGGCAAATGGTCAAATTTGCAAATGAACTATATGAATGGTTTGCATATATTCTCCATTAAATTACTTGGGGTCAATCATGCCGTTACCATTATAAAAGTGGGTTATATTGATCTTATTGACTAACAAAATGATAAGCACGGTTTGATGTCGCATGTTCAAATTTAATGACGAAAAAAGGGTCCAATTTGTTCTTGAACTATGCAAAATTGTCTAAATAAGCTCTCCGTTAATAGTTTGGGTCAATCATGAAATTTTGGTAGATGTAAATTCTTGAAAGGAACGTGGCTGCTCTATCAGCTGAAATTGAGGAAGATGGTATCGACATTTACATTAGTGTATGCACCAGCTTGAGATCGAGAAAACTTAACTGCCTTCCAAATCAGTGTCAAGTCCTAATATGATCTATAACGCTGATATCAATTTGACTAAAAAGAATGACACCTTGGCCAAATTATTTAATCTGGTCTTACAACAATTTGGTTTACATAGCTTCACAATGCAGGGTGTTCGTGGTTTTGCTGGAGAGAAGTATGTCATATAGATAAAGAGCATAACACAGTACACAATAAATTTGCAAAAACAAAAGGCATTTTGCTGTAAAATTGACCCCCTTTTCCAATACTCCAGCCCCAAAAGGTAAGGCTATATAGTATTCCATATATTGTTCTGCAATAGGAAAAAGAATTCAGCACTTTTTTGTAATAGACAGGCTATCTTGAAGCAGGATCTCTGTATCTCTTGAAAATGTCTTCAATATCATCCATTACTTGAGGTGGCAAAGGCCTCTCAGTTGTCAAAAAAGCATCAATATCTTCTTTTAATTGTTCCACGGAAGTTGCACCGATAATTGAACTTGTCATAAATGGCCGGTCTCGCGCAAATCCTAGAGCTAACTCAACTAGAGTTAGACCATGTTTCTTGGCCACTTCTTCATACTTTTTAGTTGCTTCCTGGAAATCAAACATAAAACACACCAAAAATCCAAGTAACCATTAACTAGCAGCATGGAATAAACTTCTCACATCGTCTATGTCTACAGTAATGGATGGCATTGATACTGAAGTTGGTAATGTAATGTACATTGTAACTCTAAAGACTACTAGCATTTTTCTGCTTATTCTTCAACGTTCTTCTACTATCTGCTCCTCCAATATACAAAGAAACCACCACCAAGTAATGCCCCTTAACACCAACCCAAACTCCTATAAATGTGGCACCACAAGTTCGCGTTAAGATTCTCATTCCCTCCCAACACAAACCATTTCTCTTTTATTTTTGTATAAGAAAAGCTTCTCAAGTTCCTGTAAGTTCTATAATCAAAGATTCAGCATAGTTATACATGCGTCCAATTTTACAACAAAACCCCTGGAAAATTCGAATTGATAGTGTGTAAATTAAGAATGCTAGACTGAATGAGAGGAGCGAACGATTCTATATAATTGTATCTAATTTCTTTATTACACATAAATGCACAAAGGAGGTAGGCCAGTCAAAAGAACAAGGTGCAACAGACGCTCCCAGTACATTCAGCTTCTTCTTTTTCCTTTTTTTTTGAG